ACACACACACACACACACACACACACACACACACACACACACACACATACACATACACACTCCAAGTAGGCCAAAATTGGTGTGAGTGCAGATGATATGTATAAATATGTGCATATTTTAGAACGTCTCCCCCATTATCATTCTCTTCATTTATTCCCCCTTTTTTATGTAGCGCCTTTTTTATCTCTCCTCAAGATGTTGAGATATGGAGGTGTCGATTCCCACTCAGGGAGGGTGTGGTGATGTCATGACACGGAAACTAATTGGCCCGCTGTGAGAACGGTAGACCCGAGCGCAGGCTGGTGCAAATGAGCTGACGGATCACGCCGTGTTGTTACGTGCTGCCCGTTTTCACACGTGTGTACATACCGGCAAACGCCTATAGCATGTCCTCTGAATGTGTGTGTGTGTGTGTGTGCGCCCTCACCTCGTCCCACCCCGCGCCACGTCGCTTAAACCCTCACCCAAAATAGAGCCCGCTCCATTTAAAGCGTCGCCCATGTAGAACTCATTCACACGTGTGCCTTTGCATGCATGGACAACCACACACACACACACACACACACACACGGTGTTATTGTTGACAAATTCGCACACCCTCCAATTTCCTTCTCTTCTTCCCAAAGGAGGCAAAGTCCTGCATCAGCTGCTAAATTGCTTAAGCTCTCTCGCCGGCTAATGGGGTACCTGTCTTTCTGCGTGCCTGCCTCTCTGCCCACATTAATGAGTTTCTGCTGTGTGTCTTCCGGCGTCTCTGCCCTCCTGAATGGCCGACGTCTATTCCTCACGGTCGCTTGTTGTTCAGTCCTCCCGTTGAGAACCGTCTGCCTGCGTTCTACTGTCTGTCCTAACTCAGCTGGTCTGACCGCCGCATTGATAAAGCCATGCTCCACATAGACGCGCACATCGGGCCCATGAAATCAGTCCAGAATTTTCTGTGGTCCAACTAACCAAGATGGAATTCGAGGGGAAAACAGGGGCCACGGGACACAAGTAAAGCAGAAAGCAGTGATTTACTATTTTTGAGAGAAAAGTCAGGACAGGAGGAATGAAAAACTGGAAAACTGGTTGATTGAGCGAACCATCGGAAGGTCAACAGCCAGATTTCCATGTCCATTTGTGATCTATTAGAAGGTGTGAATGAGGAGAGGTGAATGGAGAGGAAATGACAAACCTCGGAGAAACGGAGGTGTTTTTGCCCGTTCCAGAGAAGACTTAATGCGCCTCAGGGGGCATGAAAACAACTTTATAAATCCCAACTAAGTAGACAAAGATTGAAAGGAGGCATAATATGTCACCCCACCACCCCCACTTTTTCTTTTTTTCTTTTTTTAAAGCCGACACAATTTCCTAAGGTCCTAATGAAATGTGTGTGACGTGCTTTGAGAGACACACAAAGACACTGCGGCAGCTCGCTTTTCTCCCATTAATTTACGCCTCTATTGAAGCGCTTGCGAGTCGGTGGGCTGCCTGATCCTTTATAGTTACAGTTGTGTAGCGTGGCACAAACCAGTTCTGTTTTTTTTTTTGTTACTTTTTTTAAAGCCTGGACCACACACCGTAAAGCCACAGCAATGGGACCTTGTGCGATGAATCCTCTGGCACGTATTTGCCCCAAATTGCTTTTATGCACAATATGTCACCAGTGTGTCAGGTTTTGGTGGCAGTCACTTTGCAATGACCTGGCTTTAGAGCAGCACGATCCGGTAGCAGCAAAGGAACGCTTTTATTCCACTGCCTGCAGTGCCAGCCTACCACCCACTGAAAACAATACAAGCATTAACTATAATTAAGCCTAATTGTAGGAATTAACTATTAATCACAGTGGCAGTAGCTGTAGTACAGACTAAGTGAAGTTAGTGCTTTTGTACTCTTCACACAAACAAAAAAAATACACGCACATAGTTGAATGGAAATCTAAAGCTCAATACCAAAATGGGCTTAGTCCCACTCAGTGTAATGGTATTAGTAATGTCATATTTGTCTTTGTCACCGTTTCCCATTGTGCTTACAAAGGGAGCACGCACAATCTGCTAGTATCCATTGTATACATTCCCATTAAATGTTTCCCTTTTGTGATCAGGTCCTATGTATGTAGAGTCGTCTGCTCTCTGTTCATGCCCTCTAAGAGCTCTCCTTCATCACTGCTTCCTCACTTTTTAGGAGGAGGGTACATCTGCTAATACACAGGTCACTTCCTGAACTAAACATACTTAAAACCAAGTATTCGAATACTTTTCTGATGATTCACCAAGGGCCGCCTTGTTTTTCATCTTCTTTAGATATAAGAAGGTAGCCCCGTAGATGTCTTCTGTGTCTATATCCGACCTTGTCAAACCACTTTTAATTGTCTATTTGTTGGTGCCTGTCAGTGTTTTCCCCTTTAATGTCAGCCTATTTCATGAACCGTATCATAAATAGAGGCCTGCTGACATTTCAATTTGCCTCATAACCCTTCATACACACACACACACACATACACACACACAAGTTCATTGTAGAGTATCATTTCAGTGGCAGGCTGCTCTTTGGGTTTCCACGGAGACAAGAAAAAGCAATAACTGCACACTTGACCCCTTTGCTCTTATACTGCCCTCATCTCACCTTCACACACACACACATTCACGCATCTAAAATCTAATCTGGGAGAGTAAGGCTCCACGGTGATATTCCTCCATTCTCCCCAGAGGTTTGGAGAAGAGAGCAGGATGGAGTAGTGGAGAAAGTTAATAATTTCAAATTGGCCTGGAGACGATAAGATTGAGTGTTAGGAAGGCGAAAACACACCATACGCTCAGGCCATTAGTCAGTTCCTCACCCATTCGCACGCCATCGACTCGTCTCTTGCTGAAAAGTCTGACAGCAGCCTTTGCTGAAACTTCCCACAGTGGGGGAAGAGAAAGAGGAGACACGTGCACGCGATCAGAGAGAGTCGAAGTAAAACAGCCAACTGTGTTTCTTTGACTAGAGGCTAGACTCGGTGACAAGTCTGCTTACTGTTTGTTCTGGTCTCCAGTCTCATTTCTCTTCATATTGGCAGAGTTGAGAGGATTTCCGTTCTCCGTTTATCCCTGGGTGGATTCCCCCCGTCGGTTGCATATCTGTGGGAAAGTTTGAGGGTGTTTGTTGCTGCACGTTCGGTGTGTTAATCGTGTTAGTCCGTTTGTCTGAACTCAATCTTTCCACAGTCACAAGCTGTTATGGTGTCATCACACAACACCAGGGTCCCCGCGCGGGACTCCTCGTTTTCTCCTCATTTCCCATGCAAATGGGACACCAGCAGGGCACTGGGGCACTCTGCGCTTCCCCAAAATGTCGAAGGCCTGACGAATTGCGAACGGGAGGTGGATAAATGCCACACAAGTCAAACATCGCCGCTCATTATAACCTGTCACGAATAAGAACCCACACTTTACACGGCGCAGTGTAAATCTCATTGTGCTGCTGAAGCTTCAACACTCAGACGCCGCCTTCAGTTCTTTACACGGAGCACCTTCTCGCCATCCCCGCACGCCGTTTATAGATAGGGGCTCCGTAATTGCTGCTCATCCCACTGACACCGACGCATAGACCGGAGGCGCCGCAGATCGAAGCACCAAACCCTCCAATTAGCGAAAGACCTTCTTAACCTCCCGAGCCACGACCGCCCCAGTCACAGAGAGAGATTCACCTAATGAGCCCAACTTGCGCCGCTATAATTATTTCCCACTCTCGCAGATGGAGGGGGTCTGTGTGCAGTTTGTGCAATGAGTGGCCATATGCAAAGAGAAATATCACACTTTGAAATGCTCAAGTGGTTGAAGTCGTTTGCGCCATCAGCTCTTTTTTTTGGGCCCGTTTTGTTTGCGTTTGGTAATGTAACCGTTACCCCGACAGGCCTCACTTGGAGACCAGAGCTGAGTCTCCGCAGTGCTTCAGAGCTATAAGGTTTTGCTCTTGGTGGTTTTCTTCCTCTTAGGTCAGGGATGGTTTCTGCTGTGTGGATGGGGGGGGGGCATGTTTGTGGGTAGGGCAGCACAACTGATGCTACCCTGCAGTGCTGCCTTCTGTAGCGCAGGTGTGCGTTTTTGGGGATCTGTGTGCGACACAGTCATGTGATCCTGTCAGTTTTCATATCATGCAGTTATACAGACATTGTTTTTTTTTTTTTACATAGATCAGTCTTTACCTCTCTGGTATTCTTCTAATGTTAGAGATTTGTCGTCTTAATATTGTCCATTTTCCTCTAATTGCGCTCCAAAAACTACATCTGAGAAGTGCTTTTTTTCTCTGTTTTAACTCTGCTGATATATTTTCTTCTCTTGTTGTTTGGGCACAGTTCTCAAAGGAGAAGTATCTGCTCGAGTCCCCCCCTGAGAAACTTCGTAAGGAGCTGGAGGAGGAGCTGAAGCTGAGTCCTGCTGACCTCCGGAGCCATGGCTGGTACCATGGACACATACCCCGAGAGGTAGGAGCACCGGAAAACACTACATGGCCTTTCCACATACATAGAAGAAGGATTCACGCTGTTGTCAGACACGGCTGAAGCAAAGTTCAGATGTTTCCTTCAAGCAGAAGTGCTGTAACAGAAAAATATCAATCTGACGCTCACAGCTCTATCTTTATTTTTGTTTTATGTTTTCCGTTTTGTCCCTTGCGCCAAAATCTGCAAGCTGCTGTAACTCAACCTGTCAAGAAAATGTCAACCAAATAAAGGAGAGCAAAATGGAAATACAAAAAAAAATGATGATAAAACAATCTTAGAATTGTTTGGAAGCATTCTGCTTGTATTCACGCCAACACTGGAAGTAACTGGCTGACATTTGCAAAGAGTCTGGTTAGATACTCGTTTACCACTTTTTTTGTTGTTTGTTTTTAAGGCCAGCCACTATGCAAATTTCACTTTGTTGTCTGGGTATTTTTAGGCATGATAAGGATTTTTCTTTTTTACCAAAAAGAATGAGGACACAAAAAAAGCCGGTCTGCTTTTAGCTGCTTCGAGTACTTTGAAACATAAATGCATGAGCCCAGTGACAAACACATGGAAAAAGGAGGAACATCTAATAGTCATTCAGATATTGGTGGTGTTATATAATCATAAAACGGGCATCAGTGTCCGCCTGAAAAAGCCATGTGATGATGGGATTGATACGTTGCATCACAGTGTCACCACTCAGAGGAAATAGCTTCAGCATGTAGAGGGAGGGAAAGTCTGCCAAACGCAGTCAAGTTCCACAGCTGGTGACAAAGACACGGATACACAAAGACACACACAACAACAGAGGCCGACACTCGCACACAGACCGGATGCACATGTGGATGGTAGGCTCGCATTGTTCAGAGACACAGCCTCTGTCTCCCGATCCACCTCTGCCTCTCTTTGACTCCCATAAACACAGATTTTAATCAGCCATCTGTGAGTCTTTTCTCCTTCAATTTACATAAAATATTCATCTATTCATGGATTTGTCCCACTTTGAACTTGGGGAAACCCCAGATCCCCTTGTTACCCAAACAATACTTTGTCTCACACACACCCTTTGGGTGGGGGGGGGGGGGGTATTAGCTTTCTTAGATTAAATTGATCCTTTCATGATTTTTCCTCCTGCTCTGTTGATCTTTTAAGTAAAGATGTGTACATTGGGTGTACAGGTCATGTGAGCCATCCCTTCAGTTATTTTAGTTTTTTTTTTTTTTTTCCTGACTGAAGGATCCGATTTTTTTTTTATGGAAAAAGAAAGAGCCCACTCGCCTCACCAGAATTACATTTTCTGACACAGAGATAAGAGGATCATGAATTTGCTTCTGCGCCTTTGATCTGTGTGTATGCTGCCTCCTGCTGGCCCCGTACACTGTTTACCTCAGGCTGTGCTTTGTGAATCCGAAGATATTTTAATATGATTTAAAGCTCTGCTCCATCTGCTTTCAACAGCAGTCTCCTCACAGGTAGCTTTCAAGGGAATACTGCCCAGTCCCCTTTTTTTCTGTTTCCCTCCTCAGTGACTTAAACAGCTTTTAATATTGGCAACATAATCCAACCAGAAACAGTTCCACTGGCCAGAAATGTGGTCTACTGTGCTGTTGTCACCCCAGTATATTTATCTCTATATTGTTGAATTCATCGACACACACAAAATGTATCGTGAAGAATTAATTCCAGTCATTTTCAAATTTTACCCATTCATTTAGGACACTTTTCCCCCCAACACTGTGTAAGGGATAGCTGTGTTTCTGACAGTAACTTCACACATCCTGAAGTTCTCTGAGCCCGATTTGCCTTTAAGCTTAAGCGTAAGCTGTTTTGCCCTTTGTAGTATCTTCTAATCCACATTTCTTGTCCCGTTAAGGTGTCGGAGACTCTGCTGGTACGTAATGGAGATTTCCTGGTGCGTGACTCTCTGACCAACGTAGGGGACTACGTTTTGAGCTGTCGCTGGGACAATGAGGTGCTCCACTTCAAGATCAGCAAAGTCCTGGTTAAATCCAGCGAGACCAAGGTACGTTTGTATGTTTTTCAACAGAACTCTGATTGTTCATAGATTCTCTTTTTTCTTTTCTTTTTTACAGTTATTATTGGAGCTTCTATTTACTGTCTGTTCTGACTGTGTAACAGTGCAGAGCAGAATTTACTGCAGTTGACGGTCCACTAGATCAGAAGATCAAACAACTTGGCCATCTCTGGCCTTTAGGTTTCATCAGGGGAGCGTGATTAGAGCTAATGACATTAATGTTGCTTTGGTCAATCAGATCTCGGTGTAATTTTTTCAATTGAGCAGGGGGATACTTTAATTGAATATGGCCATCATGGTTGTTGTTAGTCACACCTGTGTTTGACCTGTCCTCTGCATAATCAAACTCTTTTTTCTAAGAGAGCTGGTAGGAAAATGACTAGGAGTTTGGTGCAGGTTGGTTATGCTAATGGAGAAATTACCAGACTAAATGAATTGCAGCACCACCGTCTCACTGTCCTCCATTTTGGCCTGGTCGTTTCCAGTTCCATTTGTTGACCTCAGTATAAATCGAACATTATTTCGGATTATTCTCCACTATGTCACAAAAGTCAGAAATAGTTTGATCTCCTCTGCAACGACAAAGATCCTCATTCAGAGTGCAAAGGTATCGCAGTATATAACCGCACCAATACTTAATGCTGCACAAAGATATCAGATCATTTTGGTAATAAGTGTGAACAAAGCCATCAGTCCAGGAGCTGTAATGAACTGCACGAGTTTATTCACACACTTTTTCTGGAATAACAGAAGGGGGATGTCCTGGATAAACAAACTGTATGAGATAATTTACCATTTAGCAAATCTGAAGCCAAGATGCTCATCGGAAATGTATGAGGTGGTTTGGGTAAACCGAAGTCCTGCTCCTTGTTCATCTTCAGGTGCAGTACATGTTGGAGTCGGACAGCTTCGATTCGGTCCAGGAGCTCATCCGCTTCTATGTGGGCCAGCGCAAACCCGTGTCCCAGTCCAGCAGCGCTCTCATCTACTGTCCAGTCAGCAGGACCCTCCCCCTCCGGTACCTGGAGGCCACCTTTGCTCTCTCCAACAGCAAGCAGGGCTCTGCCTACTCGCCCTCCAGCCAGAGGGGAGCGTACATCAAAAGGAGGAGCGTCACCATGACCGACGGACTGACGGCCGAAAAGATGATCTCTCACAGGTGAGCCCGGAGGAAGAGGCGGGCTCCTGCGTTTTTAGTTTGTTTTTTAACAGAGACGCAGCTCTTCTCTTCTTCTAGTGAGATTTTAAGAGTTCTTTCTTGGAGCCTCTGGACAGATGTGTAATTGTTTGATGGATGCTTTATGTCATGCGTGGTCAGTGACTCAGACAGTGGCAGCCCAGCCGAGACACCGGCGGCACCGCCAGAACCCGAGCCGGAACCGGTGCCCACATGCAGGTTGTGTGTTTGTGTGCGCTCGGTGTGACACTAGTGTTGTTCCTGTGCACCGAGGTGGTGCACATCTCTTCCACGACCCCCCCCCCGCAGTCCCCCCCCCCCCCCCCGAACCCCCCCGCACCCCCCCCCCCAGCCACCCCTCACCCCCCAGACTTTTTCTCTCCCGCACCGGATCATTCAAGAGTCAAAAGACAAGGCCGTTTGAACCTTGAATGAATGGACAAAAGAGGGCCAGACAGATGTTTTGTGCACACTGGAAATACATTTTGGGCTCTTATTACAGAGATTTATGGGGGGGAAATACCCTCATGTTGAAAATAGCTTTGGCATACACATTATGACTCATTTCTTCTCCTGAGTCAAAGATGATAGTGTTTATCGTCCAAGTGTAACAAACATAAGACTAGTTTGTCGTAACGGTGATGCCAAACTAAAATGTCTCCCTCTTCTGTCAGCCGAAAACACTTGCATTCTGAATAACACAGTGCTGTGCGAACCAGAGGTTTGTCTTAACGTCCCCGGTCTCGCTGTGCTTGCAGCCCGTCGACGATCCACCACCATAAAGACGCCATGCGGAACTGTGCCATGAGCATGGATCAAATCCAGGAGTACCGCTGCCCCCTGTCGCCCGTGGGGGAAACCCCGCTGTCTCCCGCGTACAGCGCCAGTAAGTTCCCCAAACGCCTCCGACCCAGACACGTGAATAAAACCGAATAAAAACAGAGTGTAAGGCTGCCCCTTCTCCTGCGTCTCCTCCCGCAGTCACCAGGCAGAGAGCCCACTCCAGCGGGCGGGCCCTGGCCGTCGTCCCTCCCTCCCCTGCGACGCGTCGTTCCAGCGACCCTCAACTCAGCCCCACAGCCAATAGCAGCCCTCCAGAATACCCCCCCCACAGCTCCCACTCTGCACACTCCTCACCTGCCCATCATTCCAGCTATCAGTCGCATTCCTCGGAGACGGCAGGGAGCTACTGTGACCTCAGACCCTGTCCCTCCGGGCCCCCCAAACCTCCAACCAAGAGCTACGTGGAGCGGCTGCGAGTGGAGGAGGGGAAGAGGGAGGAGGCAAGAAAAGAGGCCGAAGGGACGTTCATCCCCCAGGTGGAGACGGCGTCCTCGTTCCGGCCGTCCAGGTAAGAGACAAACAGTCTTCAAATCTGTTATTCGGAAATTACTTGGAGTCGTGTCTCAAATTAGGAAAAACAAATCAACAAATGACGGATTTATTTCCGATTCTGATGTCGGGATTTTTTTTCTCACACAGGTACGAGTCCTACCTCCTCCCTGCTGAGAATAAGCCTCTGGAGATGACCGTGTTGAAGCGAGTCAAAGAGCTCCTGGCCGAGGTGGATGCAAGGACCGCCGCTAAACACATCACTCTGCTGGACTGCAAGGTACACAACAACACGTGCACAGATTTGCTCACGCAGGCTTACTCACTCGAACAATTAAGAAGACTAGCAATGACTTTTCCACAGCAATAAGCACGCCTGTGGGAAACGCCTTATTAAATTTACAAACCAATTACCACTTTGTTTTCTTTACTCTCGGGCAGGTTGCTAGAATATTAGGTGTGACCCCAGAAATGCAAAGGATGATGGGAGTTTCCTCAGGACTAGAGTTGCTCACACTACCACACGGACACCAGCTAAGACTCGACCTACTGGAGAGGTACAAGGGCATTTTCTTTTCTTCTTTTTCTACTCTCCTATTCAGTAACTGTCAATTAATTAGGTCCTGGTAATGCATATTAATGTACTGCTCTGCCTCCACTATTTTCCAGTAAACATTTTTAATTATATAAAAAAAAGAAAAGCTATCCTTCTTAAAATCTAATTGTGCTGCTTTAAATGGTGAATTAAAACAGCCCCCGATATGCCTGTTCCTTTAGCCGCTTGTGTCTCTACCGCCTTTTGATCCCAGGTTTTACACCATGTCCATCATGATGGCCGTGGACCTCCTGGGCTGCACGGGAAGCACGGAGGAGAGGGCCGCTCTGCTGCATAAGACCATCCAACTGGCGGCCGAGTTGAAAAGCAACCTTGGGAACATGTTCGGTTTCGCGGCAGTGATGAGAGCCCTGGAGCTGCCACAGGTCAGAGACTTTTAGATGAAGGTTTCCGTTCGAAGTCCAGAGTCGAGCGCATTCCCAGACGTTTCCCCCTCTTCCAGATTTCCCGCCTGGAGCAGACGTGGGTCACTTTGCGGCAGAGACACACGGAGGGCGCCATCCTGTACGAGAAGAAACTCAAGCCGTTCATGAAGAACATGAACGACGGCAAAGGTGAAGCTCCGGCAGTAGTTCAGCGTTTGTTAGAAAAAGGATGCACACCTTTGCGTGGTCACATCTGAAGCCCGGCCTCTCCTTCTCCCCCAGAGTGCAGCGTCCTGTCCAACACCTCCTTCCCCCACATCCTCCCCGTCCTGTCTTTGCTGGAGCGCGGCGTGGCCCTCGGGGAGGCGCTGGAGCCCTGGGAGAGCGCGGAGGTGGGCGTGGATGTGGTCATGTACCACCTGGAGGCAGCCCGGACCATCGCACATCACGGGGAGATCTACAGAACCAACGCAGAAACAAAATGCCAGGGTAAGACACTGGCGTTCGCCCCCATCTGCACCGGGACCTGCGAACGATTCTGAGAGGACGTGAGCTTCCTGCTGTGCAGGCAGCACTGTGAAAACACCTGCTGCTGTTTGTATCTTGCTGTAAATAATTTGCGTTGGGTGTCGGTGTCACAACACCGCTGATCTGATTCATTGATCCCTGTGTGTGTGGTTACTGTGTTGACAGTACTGATCATTACTACTTTGCCATCGGTTCTCTTTCCGAGGCCATTACCGCTCTATTGACCAGCCTGTCAATAGTTTTTTGGTCTTGTCTCTGTTTTCTGTTGTAACCTGCTATTGATCATTCTGACCTCATCTGGCTCCCTTTATCAATAGTTCTATAAGCCCTCGTATTTAGGCTTATATTCACTTACTTGGTTAAATTAATGGTTTCTGATGCTCAAAATCCATCTTTTGGTCATGAAGGATGAGGCATTTAGTCTTTCCGTTAAACTTTTGGCTGCTCACAGGCTGATTTCCCTGCAGTCGTACAGCTGTGAGAGTCTTATTTATGTGTTATCTGAACATATGTAAAAAAATTTAAGCAACCTGCTGCCTGATCATCTCTTCTTCTTCGTTATAGTCACATTTCTGCATATTCTAAGCTCTCTGTCTCTCTCGTTCAGGATTCCAGGAGCGAGCGGAGATACACGAGGTCTTCCAGACGGAGTTTCAGATGCGCCTGCTGTGGGGCAGCCGCGGCTCTGAGGGCAGCCAAACCGAGCGCTACGAGAAGTTCGACAAGGTCCTCACGGCTCTGTCTCACAAACTGGAGCCTCCAGTGCGCCACAGCGAGCTATAGCATCCGCCCTGACGCCCGCGTCCCCAGACCGCTCCCGTCTGCTTCAGCAGTAGTTTGGGTCTGGTCGCAAATCGTGGTGACGTTGGAGAACTCGGCTAGGATACTTGGAGAGGGGGGGGGTTGAATAAGGAGGCAGCTAAAAGAGCACGAGGAATACAGAAGTCTCAATTAAACATGGGTTTCCCTAAAAAAAAAGAAGCTTTCTGTTCCACTGGTGGATTTACTCAGCTCTAAAATATTAAACGCAGGGAAGAGGAGAGCAAAATAGTTAAAAAATAAGAAAAAAAGACAGGGGAACAGGATTTCCTGCTCTTCCATTACGAAAATGAACATCTGTACGCCGTGCCTAAGAGAGGCACATTCTTTCGCTTTGCTCCAGTATAACACAGACACTCAACTGCTGTCACACACTGTAGCTGAAACCACCACACTAGCTTACATAGCTCATATGTAGATGTTAGGTCTGTGTGTGTGTGTGTACGCGTGTGTGTTTTAGTGTTATTTTTGGTCCATCTCTTTTTCATCTAATTTATTTGTTATCCATCAACAGATATGAAAGCTTTTGGGATATTTCTTCATGAATCATCAGAGTCCAAAGGGGGGGAAAGAATCTCATAAACTATGTATCCAGCAGTCCCATTGACTCATTTAAAATGTATCAGGCATGCATTAATAAATGTATCTGAAATTAAACATTTGCAGATGTAATGCAGCTACTTGAATGTGAGGGCCCTGTGCGTTGTTCGGACCACTAAGCAACCTCTTTCCACTTTGGCTGTGATACATTTGATATTGTGTGTCCTGTGCACAAAATGTAGCTTAACGCGCCATCGTAAAAGACAATAAATGTGGGTTGTATACAGTTAAGATTTATTTAAAGCAATGTTTCACTGGGTATACGAACATTTCAGTTTCGAAAGATTTCCAGCTTCGGTCTGCTAAACTCGCCCAAGTAACACGGCTGATGCATGCATCTTTAAAAGTTCTACCGAGTAAAATGTTGCTTTAATGACGATTTTGGTGCATTTGTGTCAAACATGAGGAAAAAATGCATATGATTCAATGATGATGATTTGTCTGTGGAAAATCTGTAGTGACATCTAGCGGTAGTGTAGAGTCCTTCATCTTCTTCTTTTTTTTCTGTTCGTTTTTTGGGGCGACGGCAAGGATGTGTACTGGACTGCTGCACTACACAGAATGTCCCCTGACTGTATGCTGATTATTTGTGTTTCACCAATAGAGCTAAACTTACTGGAAGAGTTTTCTTTGACATTTTGGTTGACTGCTCAGTGTTATATTTGTGCTCTATCGACAATATGTGGGTCTGAGAGGACTGGAGCCAACTCTCAGAGCTATGCAATCATTTCGGCCGGTGGCTGAAACCCAGGACGCAGGATCCCTATTAGGAAATTTGCAGAAATCAGAAAGTCATTTCAGATATCAGTCAAACAGAAATATTTCTGGAAATAGTCTTTGTACCCCAGAGCTGCATATTGAAGCTCCCTCAGTGGATGTTGGATTGTGTTTGAACTGCTGGTTTTCTATTCTAGTTCCCACTGTACAGATCAGAATTGAGCTTAAAGTTGGAGTCCAACAGGAGCTGCACTTAAGTCAGGAAATCACTGAAATGAAGATGTACAGTATACACACACACACGGAGAAATTACACCTCTATTGTGTGCGTGTGTGTTGTTTTTCTTCTTTTTTTCTTTCTTTTTTTTCTTTTTTTTTAGACCAATAGGATGCCTGCTGGTTTAGGTCTGACTGATGACGATGATGATGTAAAATGTTTTTATGAAGTGAAAAGCAAAAAAGTCTAGAGGTGATTCAGGGCTGATCTCATGTCTTTTTTTTACTTACTGTATATAGTAATTCACTTTTTTTCAAATAAAACGATTGCTTGTGTTGGTGAGTTTGATTTTTTTTTTTTCAAAACGATAAACATTGTTCATATACATCCACTATTGTTGTGTGCCATCTTGTGATAGAACAGAGTGATCATTCAAAAACTACTGTGCAGATTCTGCCCTAAAGTTTTACATTAAGTTAATTGAATCCATCTAGATGGCGGAGGCTGTGGTGACAGCTCTACCGGTTTGCAGTCGTTTACACACAGCAGCATAAAGCCTTTTAGCGGGACTGATATTCATCAAGGTGTCAAAATCTGCCCGTGAAGCAAAATAATGAAACTATAATATGTTATCTGAAGAGAATGACCATTTTTATCTACCTCCTAGGTAAGTGTACATGTATCATGGCGCCACCTACAGGTGCTGTATCAAGTTCAGGACTTGGTATTGGGACCAAGGCATTGGGAGTCAAGGAGTTTCATACCTGTATGAACAATTTAGGAGAGGGGAAGTGGATGGAAGTTTTGGAACAACATGAGTTTAATTTAAAAAAAAACCCGGCAATATCAATTTTTTTCTTTAGCATGCATTTAATCATGAATCAGTTTACGGGATAAATACAAAGCACACTGAAGATTGCAGTGAGGTGCTGATAAAAGAGAATTAATTCATTTAAAAGAAATTTTAATTTTATACAATGCACATCCAAACTCATTTACAGCCCCAACAGCAGCCAATAACATAGTGATGCTTATTAAACTAAACCCATTTACTTGAAGTAAATATCCAGTCCTGTCTATTATTATCTTAGATTAGAAGAGTTTATGAATTTAAGGTCACTGTTAACACACTTAAAGTTATCTTAATTTATAATAAAAAAAAAAGATAAATATGGTGTCATAATTCTGATATAGCACATTATTCGTTGGATATTTTTGAATAGTCAAAATCTCTTAGATTGAGTTTGGTCATTAAAGTATATCAAACGTTTGAATATCAGTAGATGGATTTTTTCTACTTTGCTGTAATACCTTTTATTTTTCATATATAATGGAACACCTCTAGTCTTATACTGTAAAAGAAAACTCGGCATTGGACTTGCCCCTAAAAAAGATGACGGTCCACTGCTGTTGGAAGAGCCAGGCTTTCACTTCCCTGTCCTCTGACCCATCAGGCTCTGCCTGGCTCTGGAGGAGCCGCCACTCTCCTGTAAGGATGCATTCTGACCAGGAGGTGGCACTATTCTCCATCAAATGAAAACTGTCTTCATTTGAGTATAGACGACAGTCTTAGCCTTCAGTAATCAGACTGCAGCCCCCAGCGTCCTCATTCTTGGTCCAGTTTGAGTTTTGGAATAGTATGAGTGGATTAGACTGAGTCTTACGTGTTCATAGAACAGGCAATAATGCCTTTTTTAATCTGTTGGGGAATTTTGTGAATTGAACAAAATTCCAGGCACTTCCCTTTTTGCTATTGTCAACATCAATTTAAAAAGGAGATCAAAGTTCTTGTCTTTATTTTTAGGACGGTGAGCCATATGATGTTCCCTGGTTGTGTGTGCTGTGGGAAGCTTCACACATTGTTCTGCAGATAGGCTCATGGAGATGGCAGCAGGAGGGAGAAAAGACAGATGGAGCACGTGCGTATGACTGTGTGCGTGCACAAGAACGTATGTGTGTATTGGTGTATAAATGTGTCCTTTTGACAGCATGAGTGCATATGTGTGCTATAGCACAGATGTTGCAGGAATACTGCCGGTGCTGCGTCCTCTCCTCATGAAAGGGACGCTGGTACATTCTGCCATAATGGCGGGGGAGAAGGGGTCACCATATTCTGGACCATAAAAACAGACAAACAATAAACAATATGAAAAATATTTCTAAACACAGCCATCAGAAAGAAAAGGTGCGGACACTACATATAAGACCAGGATATAGCAGGACATTGTTAAACAGCATGCCATACCCACTATCTACAACAAAAGAAAATGAAAATTCCTCTTCTCTTTGTCTGTCCTCTCCCATACAGTTCCATAGGCGTAGCGTGTAATGGATGTAATCTCTAAGAGGATTCTCTCTGCTTGGTAGAATGGCCCATGTTAATTTTAGTTCTTTATGTTTCTTTTGAAACAGACCCAGGATCTCCCAGCCCTGTAAGCCATCCAGGCAGCCAGCCTTCATCAATTCACCATCTAATCTCTCCCCCCACCGCTTCTATTGCTAATCCATCCTGTTGGTCATTGTCATCTGATCACGTGCAACCTTGGCTGCTCTATAGTTGGTGCTTGGCAGCACAGCGTTCATGTCCATCCATGATGTCAGCGCTGTCATGTCAGGCGTTTTTGGATATCAAAGTAAGTGTAGGCTTACAAACCGACTGCAATGCCTCTTCTTTTTAGTTGAATTAGGATTTAGGAATTAGGATTCTTTTTGAGTTTTTTCAAGTCTTCGTGCTTCATATGATCTGTGCAATAGATTAAATAAGAGCCAGATTTAAATGTCAGCAGGTGGTTCAGAAAATCCTTATTAAATGTTGATTGATAGAATATTAAAATGAGACATCCATCAGAGTGCAGCAGAAGTGTGCTGCGCCATCCATAACGGCTCTACAGGAGCCTCACCGCGGCTCAGCAAATGCGACATGACACGCAGTAATGGCGTGATCACTCCTGGACAACTTACTCCCCAGCCATGAAACTGGCAGCCATAAATATCCCACCCACAGCTCACCTTGTGCCTCCACGTCCCCCCCCCTCCTGTCCCGAGCTCACGCCCTGGCTGTTTCCACTGGCGAGGATACTACTCCGTCCAGCTGGGACAAAAGAACCAGCAGCTGCACTCATCATGTCTTCATTATCTGAGAAAGTTCCAATGTAGCCTTCAGAGGACTTCCTCAATTTCCCGCCTGCCTCATCACCCACGCCTAAGACTTCCCTCGCACCCGCCAGGCCCCCGGTCCATCCGTCTGTGCGCCCCTGCTCTCACCGCTCATTAACACATGAATACAGACAAGGGAGGGCCTTCTAAGGCTTGGACGCCAACAGAAGGCAGCAGATTTGCAATTCAAACCTTTGACCATCCACTTCCACCCCCCCTCCTCCTTTCCTTCATCATGCCCACCCTGTATGCAGGGACAGGGACTATGGCGGGATGGTGGGGACAGATGTTGATTGAGACTCATGTCATGCATCTGCACACAATGCAAAGCCAAGGTTATGCAGATGTAGTGTATGTGGCTTTTCTATATAAAATAGTAAGTAATAAAGTCAAGTCCCAGCAGGATACATGTTCTCTGATGGGATGTTTCCTTTTATTAGAGGGGTATTTTGCCTGTAAAGCAGGCTTGTGTGTGGCACTTACTTGTCCCTTTCGCGTATGAGACATATCCGCGGTTGAAAAATGAACTCACCAATGATTTATGATTGCTGCTTTCCAGATGGGTGGGCCAGAGCAAGGCCAGCAGAAGGGCAACATTTTCTCCTTCTAGGAAAACTCCAACCTAAAAAAAAATATGAGCAGTTTGCATCACTTCAGTCATGCATTGTTTACTTCCTTTACACTTACTGTAGAAGTCACCGAATTCCTATGCACTGTAAGTTAGAATGTTAAAAATCATGGAAATAGAATATCCCTTTAAAGTGTTTTTAACCTTCATTAATTCTTTTTTATCCTTTAATGTAAACAGTTTATGTTACCTAGTTTGATTCTCTGAATCAACCTGGAAACAGTACATATCCATCAATATGAAAAAATAAAAAGAGAAAAAGGGTCCTATAAGCTTGTTATCTATGTCCACAATTGTATTTTTTATACATTTATGGGTAATCATTTCGTAATATAATCACCTTTATTACTTTATTTGTCGTTTACTTTTTCATAGGGTTATTTCATCATCAACTTGACTTGACTGTCCGTTTTGCGTGTTGTATGACCACAGAATGAAACTACACTATAAATAAAGTCGTAATATGAAGTTAAAAAAAAAATGTTATATTTTCTTATGACATGCTCTATCCACCTGGCAAAATGGTGAAAAAAAAACATGCATAAACACACGTCTCTTCCGGTTTCCCCTCTGACACTTCCTCCATGTGCCGACAATATGGCGGCCCCCGTTGGCGTCCATCTAGAGTTTGGGTAAGCACATTTAAAATGTTGTGTAGCTGTTTATTGTGCGTTTTTGTTGCCGAGAGGTACAGTCAAGGGAAAACGGGTTCGCTTAGTTTTCGTGTGAACGTCAGGGAAATAGTCGTTCTCGGCTGCACAGCAGAGGACGTAGCAGAAAAGAGCTTTGGCAGCTTCCTGCCATGTCTGCTCATCCCTCTCCAGCCTCCATCAAAATATGCGCCCCCAGAGCACTGACTGATCACCGCAGCTGGGTCCGGACACGCTGCTCAGCTCCAGCACCGACCCCGCGCTAACGCAACGGCTCGACATAATGAGAGAGGCGCGAAACGCCAGAGAAAGGGAGTCGAGTCTAGCACATAAACAAGCGACATGACTGGTTCAGCAGAATAGGTAGCTGCGTCGATGCCTGATTAAAACGCTATAATTAAATTCACGTCCCAAAACCCCCTTTAAACGGGGTTACGTGTTGTTATTAATCTTGTATGAGATCAACTTCCCCCCTAAAAAGTATAAGCTGAAAATCCTGAAAAAGCCAGAGGACCCGTTGATGCTTATTTATCTGATTACATTTCACATGTGACAAATTAAAGCTACATTCTTATGGTGTATGCTTAGAATTTGAGAGTTAAAAACTGATTTTTGTCTCTCGCTCATTTTTCAGTGTTCTCAATAATACTAGCATGTTTTGGCGTCCCCAAAGCAACTTCAAGCCTCATGTGAAATATGACTTAACTACAACTTTTATGCTTTAAGATTGATTTGAGACAGAAAGCCACCAACATCATGCTCATATATAGCAAATAAATTCTACTTATGTGTAAAATCTGCCTGAAGTGAACTAATTTTAATGATAAGAATAGTCTAAAAGGTAGATTTTTCTCCAAATAATATTTTAATCTTCATTAACTCACATTGGCATGAATTTAAGATTTGTCCATGGGGGTGTGGAAATTTAAGCAAAAATAATGGCCAATCCAGCCTGAAAAAATCATATAATGAAACTTAAAACCATGTGAAAAGGTTAAGATGTGTTTTTTTACATTTTTTTGTAGAGGTGGAGCAGAGCTGCTTTTTAATGGTGTCAAAGAGCATCAGGTCACTCTTCCAAGCCAGTCCGACCCTTGTGAGTATCACTTTTTACTTTTATAAAGTCAAACACTCCATACCAGGTCATTGTCATGCCAGCTATAAGAGTTTGTCTTGGGGACAGATCACCGGTGTACAGCTCTAAATACAATGTGCCACGTCACTCTGGGTTTCGTTACGGGTGTCATAATACACATTCTTTGTTTGTATTTTGCCGTTTGAAACAACTGTTAGTGAGAACTTTCTGGTGTTCACGGTTCCTGTTGTGTGTTACTTAGTTCAAGTTCACACTCACCTCTTAAATCTGTGGCTGAGTTTGGCTTCTCCTTTTAATTAAGAGCGACGCATCAATTAAATCACATTAGCATAGGGTGCTAAATGTTGATACACTTTTAAGATTTAAAAAATATATTCAGACATTATGCAATATATTTTAATTTAATGTTTTTTTCCCCATTTTTTCTATACGTTAGCATCCTAAACATTTATGACTGTACTTCGTTTTTCAGAATTTATCCTTACAGCCCTTTTGTGTGTGTGTGTGTGTGTGTGTGTGTGTGAGTGAGAGAGAGAGAGAAAGGGGACATAGTAAATCGTCCAAAAAAAATTCGCGCTTCGGCGCATCCCAGGACAGGAGCTGGAGGGACAGAATCCAGTTTTCCCTTTTTTTTTTTTAGCTAATACGACAACCGTTCTCCCCCCTGGAGTCCAAAATGAGCAGGAAGGAGCGAGAAGCCGGCCACAGCCCGTGTCACAGGGAAGGAGAACAAATAAGAGAAATATGTGTCTTTGGTATTTGGCTAAACAGAGGGTGTTTATCTGGGGTGGTGATGTTACCGTGGCGACAAAGAGACAAAAGTTGACCAGAACAGGGAATGTCGGTCTGATATGACCTTGCTGCACTAGCTGACCTGTGTGTGTGTGTGTGTGTGTGTGTGTGTGTGTGTGTGTGTGTGTGTGTGTCTCTATGAGTGTGTGTGTGTGTGTGTCTGTCTGTTTGTGTGTGTGCTCTAGGGTTTGCTATGTAGCACAAACATTTCCACAGGGTTTTACTCGGCTAAACATTTCTTGGATTTGCCTGCTCGTAGTGAGCTGATATCCAGTCTGGTGTGTGTGTGAGTGTGTGTGTCCGTAGGAGTGTGTGGCTGAACAGGAGGGGATGCAGTAAAGGCATATATAATTGGTTCTGAATCATTCTTATTTCTTTCTGACCTCAGTCAGTGATTGATGACCCTCGACTTAAAGACCCCACCCCCTCCCTTTCTCTGTCTAACCTCTCTTAAACACACACACACACACGTACACACCACAGAACCCAAAACCCAGTGGTCGAGGGTCCCACATTTTCCTTTCTTTCTCTCTCTCTCTGCCCCTCACATCAGCAGAAAGATTGATGGCTCCTCGCCCTCGCACGACCGTCATAATCGCACACAGAAAATCAAAAGACGGTCAAAACCGCGCGCACAAAAGGCAAGCGCAAAGGGTTTGAATCCACATCAAAATGGCGCCTTTTCGCCTCCTCTCCTTCCACCCACGCAACGCAGCTTCATCCCAAGATGCATTAGGGGGGCGCGTGACGCTTTTTTATTTTTTCTCCCCGCTCTTTTCTGTGCTCCTCCTTTCCCTGTCCCCCTCCACCTGGACCGCAGAGCTCCATCACACACCTTCACCTCTCAGCCCCACGCCTCTCCCCCTCCGTCCATCAGCCCCTCGTTTCTTTGCGTTGTCTCTCACCTCCACGGCCGCGGAGCCACACAAACCGGGCTCTTATCTTTTTTCGCCCGGCGCCATTGAAATTCTTTAAGCCCGCGTGACATTTTACAGGGAAGCAGTTTAAAGTGCTGACGTCTCTGATCTGAGAGGCTTAATTGACGTTAGCAGCCCGCGCATCGAGCCAGGCCATTTTTTTCTGGTTTTTTTTTTTTTTTTTTTTTCTTGTTCGCATTTCAACCTGTTATCCTCCCGGCGCCTCCAGATATAAAGGAGAAAAAGATGGAAAGGAACATGAGAGGGGAGGAGAGCAGGTTTTACGAGAGAGATGGGATGAAAAAGTAAATGAGTGAGAGGATGAAAGAGCGAATGAGGGGTAACGGTGGAGAAAAAGAGCAGTAGTGAGCGCGCAGAGACGAGCCAGCACAAAGAAGGAGTTATGACTGTCGTGGTGATTAGTTCTGTTTTTAGCCCCGCAGAGGTGCAGGTCAATATTCACTAACTTTAAAAAAGTGTGCGTGCGTGCGTGCGTGTGTGTGTGTGTGTGTGTGTTGCAAGAGAAGGTATTTGTCTTTTTTATATGGAGGCCTGGAACCAGAGCGCAGCAGCACTATCATTACACTACTGAGCTGGCAGACAGCTTTGCAATTAACCTGAGTGGCGTGCGCACATGAGCTGGCTCCCACTCATCATCCACCCCGAGCCTTGAACCCAACGCCCCTTTTTGCCTTTTCCTTTTTTTTCCTTTTTTTTTTCCATTCAAAAACGATTTGAAATCGAAAGGTGTGGATTTACAGTTAGCAGAGGTTTGAGTTGTATGTTTACACGCTGCAAATGTTTGTTTTTTTCCAGTGTTAAAAATCTATTGTTGGAGCAAATGAACTTGAGCTGGAAGACATGAAAGAAAATGAATCCCTATTTTTTTCCTTCTTATGCTTTTTTAGTGTTATTTTTTGATTTTTTTTTCAAGATAGAGAAATGTTATTGGTGAAAACGCTAAATGTAATTTTGGATTTTTGTATTCATGAACTGAGACTCAAAATGCAACCATTTTTTTCTTTTTCTCAGTTTTTTTTCCTGATTTTATTTTGTGAAAAAACACCTGTTTTAAGGTGTCTTTTATCCGACCGACCTCCTGAATTTTGAGCCCGTCCCTATCACCTGCCTCATGAAGACGCTCCACCTTCCTCCAGCGTTTTCTTTTCTCTCCGTTTACTGTTATAGCTCTCTGTGTACCAGTCAGGAAGGCCCATTCTGGTCGTTTTGATGGTGCGAGTGTGTGTTGCTACCTGTCACTGCAGACCTGTTTATTATCGTAATTAAATCAACATGAAGTGGATGGTTATGATCTTCATTATTTTTTATTTTTTCATTAGCAAAGAATCCTTCTCTGTTTTACACACGGACTAAAAGGGCTCTTACACCACCGGGGATCTTAATGTCGATGGTTGTTCTAAGCATAATATATTCATTGTTGGTTGCTTAGTGGGGATTTGTCCTAAAACCCCTCGTAAGCGTCTCTTTTGTGGCCGCCGCCGGTCTGGGAGCAGCTCGGCCCATTGTTGAGACAAGGTCAGTGTGATTGCCGAAGAGGTCAGACTGATGGAGGATTCAGGCATGGCGGATATTCGCGGTCAGTCGGGAACGGCCAGCAGACACGTACCACACTCAAATGCGCTTTTATTATTTTATCTACTTACCGAATAAAAAAATAATAAGCTCCACACACACTGGGATGGTTTAGTTCAATTTTTTTTTAAGGCATTTAGAGCATGTTTCCCGTATTTTTCTTTCAGTCTCTCATCATTTAAAAAAAAAAAAAGCTTCCTTTGATTTCTCCCTCCCCCAGGTGAAAGATGTCACCGTTGGCCATTGATATTATTCCACCTTCCCCCCCTATTTCTGGTGTCCCCCACCCCAAAATAAAAAGCCCCACACACTCTCATAAATATACATACGCATAGGCACAAACACCCCCTGTCCCGCCTGGTGCCTCTGTCGCGTCACATCGACCAGGAGGCTGGAACCATGCACCTTGACCCTTAACCCCTGACCCCTGACTTCTGTTGTCTGCCTTTTGTAGGGGCTGTGTGTGATTTTTGTGTGTGTGTGTGTCTGAATGAACGTAAAACATAAATCTGCGCAATAACGCTGCGGGTATCTGCCTCTCCTTTTGGGGGCAAATCAAAATAAGCCCCTCATAAATGTAGATCTCCAAAAATGTAAAGGTCAGACGCCGTGGTGTGGGACGGGGGGCAGTTTAAGGTTAGCGTCCAGAAGATGGATGGATGGAAGTCAGGAGAATGTTCTCCCGAGTGATAATGGAAGCGTGTGTGTGTGTGTGTGTGTTTTTTTTTGCAGGGGACATGAAGCAGCTGCTGGTGTGGATCCGACGGAACCTGCTGAAGGAGCGGCCGGAGCTCTTTGTCCAGGGAGACACCGTGTGAGTGCGCCGGACACATACACACCACCCGGCCGGAGCGTTTGCCCCATAGGAACCGTTGAGCGCGTGTCGGGGAGCGTCCACAACCATTTTTTGATATTTAGTTATTTATTTATATATTTTCCCGCAGTGAAAATGGCTGAAGAGCCGTGGCAAAGAAATGTCTTTCAGGTTATAGGCTTCAGCCAGATGATTACCTGAATGCGTGTGAGCTGGTGTGTTTTTGCCCATACGTGTGTGTGGGGGTGTGTGTGTGTGTGTGTTGGGCCCAGGGCTCACGGCAGTCTTATAGGACTGTCTGACTTTTACAGCTGCTTTTGTGTAGGACTATTTATAGCACCATCTTACCAATGAGTAGGAAAGAAAAAAAAAAAAAGCCGGCCTGCCTATAAACCTTATAGATTAGATGTGTGTGTTGGTGTGTAATTTTTTTGTCGGACGCATGCTTCTTATTTTATCTTTTTTATGTATTTTTTCCAAACAAACCATCAGGATGCGGCCTTATTGGCTACACAAAAGCTCTGTAGATGTTGTGTGATAAACATCTCGGCCCTGTGTTAATTCTTTTGTTCCCCCTCAGCGCCTGTTTTTCCCAGTGTGCGTGTGTGTGTGTGTGTGTGTGTGTGTGACACATGTTTGCGCCCGGGTTCCTCACACATTGTCCTCCCCGACTGACGTCAGAGAGGATCTGTGGGGCGGATAGGACCAGTGTGAGGGGCATCGGTCAGAGCCGCCCACGTTATCTCAGCGTGCACGTGACTTCAAAGTTACCTGTTCGTTTGTTTCCTCTTTAAATAAAGAGGAACTTTAGCTTCCGCTTAAAAAAAAAAAAACCCACCCATAGGTGTGTGTTTATAACCCCCCGCCATTATCTCCATTATCCTCTTTTATGTGTTATTTTTAGGACCCCGTTCATTTTCGGTGACAGATTTTTTTTTTCTTTCTTTCTCCGCTCCGGCCACTCGGGCCTCTTAAAAGAAGTCATTACTTTCAGATCTTGTTAGTCACAAAATAATTGGGGAATTGTGTCATGTGGTAATGTCATTGCTACTTTTGGTACATTTGCAGATGAATCCCTTCAAATACACCTTTCATTAGCAGTTTCATATCGAACCCCCCCCCCCTTCCCTGAAGCCGGTGCTGGCCCTCCACTGTGTGCTGGACATAACACACACGTGCAAACAACACACTCTAAAACACAATCATTCATTCGTTTCTGTTTGTGCAAAGTTCTACACTTGTGTTTTTGACATGGACAGCAGAAGGTTCCTTATAACATTTTTAGTTATCAAGGATATTATGGTGTAAATCACATTCAGACTAAAGTAAACTGTGTGTTACCAACCAGTGTGTAAGAAGTAGGAAATTAAAACCATTTTAAAAGTCAGATTCAATTCAGGGGGGAAAATGAAATATTGTGGTGATTATACTTTAAAAAAATATTTCCACTTTATCTTAAGTATATTTTTCATCTCTGTTGGAACACTGAGACTTGAAATCTAATTATTTTTCTTATTGAATTAAAAAACAAAAAAGACGCGGGTTGTTAATTGCAGAAACATGCTAAAATATTTCTTTCTGTGTGTGTGTATTACCTCTGGGAGATGTGTCTGACTGAAAACTGTGTGTTTTCCCACAGGAGGCCTGGGATTCTGGTGCTTATCAACGATGCAGACTGGGAGCTAATGGTGAGCACTGGGAGCCACGGCCACTGCCGGACCGTCGGGGGGGCGTAAAAACCTGAATCTATTGTCTGTTTGATTTCTTTTTTTAACGTTCTGAGATCACGTGTAGCGGTTTAAATCAGAGGTAGGATGACTCTGTGTGTGTGCGTGTGTGTGTGTGTGGGGGGGGTGAATCATAGAGAAGGAATTGTTTCAGCTAACCTCCAAATTCATTTTCTCTGGATCAGTTTTTCTTCCACACAACGTGGCACTTTCAACTGCAGGACATGTTTGTCCTCGGGCTCTCGTATCTGAGCATGTAGATCCTCACACACACACACACACGCAAACGCACGCACACACACACACGCTGCCACACACGCAAACGCACACAGAACGCCTCAATTTGAATGATTTGATCCAATTACAGGACTCGACGCAGGATGTAAATGAATTGAAAACTTTGTCATTGATCGAGCCCTAATGGAAAGGCAGGAGTAAAACACAGACTGGTGTTAACGCAGCCACGGCTTCTGTTTTTCTCCCTGAACGTTTGGTGGTTTCTTACCACAGGGGGAACTGGAGTACCAGCTGGAGGACCAAGACAACATTGTGTTTATTTCAACTCTCCATGGAGGATAGAAAAAAAAAAGAGGTTTACAAATATCTACTTGACATATCTAAATGCCCAACCCCTCACCTCTACCACATCCCAACACCAAGACGCCCCATTGGACGCCGCCGAGCGCATAAGCCCCCCCCCCGACGTCACGACCTACACGGCCGATGGCGTTTAGTGGCAGATGTGGGGAAACGCGGAGACGGTGGGCGAAAGACGGGAAACCTGAGGATCAGTTTTCAGGGGCAAACGGCATTTGTGTCTCTAAAAATATGTGAAAACGCTGGACTTCCATCTCCCTGTGTAAGCAGTATAGAAACATATTATGAGCTGAGCTTTCCACAGTTAAAACTCCCCCTGAAGAATTATTGTTCATGACAACAGATTGTCATTAACTAGTTTATAGTCAACTAGTTCTGGTGGTTTCATTTGTCCCTCTACAAACACCTTTCAGTATTTGAAAACATTCAGTTTGAATATATCCTTATTTCTGAATCTGTTTTTATTTTACCTTGCCATGTTAAAAAATAATAAAAATCTGGTTTAGAACATGTTTTTTCCACTAACATGTGTAGCTTCTATTACATTATCACACTACCACAAATAAATACATTGTTGGAAGTTTTTTTTCAGTCGCAAATTGCCAGGAAGGAATATTTTTGTTTTTGTTTTATTTTTTTGTTTTTTTTCAGGCATTTAAGGAAATCATCCTTCAATACATTGTTGATTGATTTGTTGTTTTTTAATTTACAAATGAAATGTTGGTGTTTTTTTTTCTTTCTGCTGTTCCCAAATGGCATAAATGCCTCCAGATAGTTTCACCATTAAATCCTTTTGATAACAATCCATACAACTCTGCACACAGATGTTTTTTTTTTATTTTTCTTCCCTTTTTAGGAATGAAGATGTAACGCATGGGTTTCTATATTTCTGCTGGAGTTTAGGTGAGATCGATTTGGGCTTAGCCCAGTGATCACACGGCAGTTTGAGGCTGATTAGGCGACACTTGAGGGAGATTTTACCTTCCTGTAGCCACACTCAGATGGAATATTCATAAGTGGAGGAGGAGGAGGGAGGCATACGGGCTTATGTGTGTGTGTGTGTGTGTGTGTGTGTGTGGTGGTAGAGGCGGTGGGTGGGGTGTGAGCCGCAGGACCACTGCGGGAGGTCGAGGTCTCGCCTCTGGGCTGCCCTCCCCTGAACGCCCGAGGCGACCTGAAACCTTTTTCTCGCTCGTGGAGCCCGATTTGCAACGGGAAACCGGCCCATAATGGCCGCCCGAAAGGAAATGCTAATGAGGCCGTGAGGGGGTCAGGGAGGAGAGAGTGCTGCTGCCCGTCAGCTGGTGCAGGGGATCCCAGCGTGGGCACATGCGCCTCCACGCGTTTTACGCACGGGCTAAAACCACCCCAACCATTATTCTGAGCCAATATGAAAAAATGCATCATTCTGAAACGGGTTTCATCTTTCACTAGGATTTTTTTTGTGTGTCTTAATCAGATTTGCAGTGAAGCCCTTTTCTGTTGTAACTCTAAAGGTGTCGTTGGCGTTTTTTTGTGTGTGTTTTAAAGCAGGATTATGTGCAGGGCCCTGGCTCTGGGGCTCTGCCCGTGGCCACAGCTTGCAGGCTGACTGCTCAGCGGGAGATGTGATGAGACGATGCTCCTGCTGCCGGCCCGGCACATCACAGAGATCCTGCACAGGTCACAGATCTGCCGGGATGCTCAGGGATGAGCCAAACTACCGGCGACGTGCAGCAAACCGCAGCATCAGGAGCAGGCTGCAGGACGTGTTTTTTTAAATTTGTTAACCTATGAAAAACCATCAGGGGAATAGTTTACTCAGGATTACCATAAACTGTGTCTTGACAAAATCCAAACAGTAAGGAATCAGAGAGTGTGTTCATTATTTCCTATATAAACCAAATTTTATAGTAAATTACCTGATGTAAATTCCACCTGTTCGCCTTTTCATTTATTTTTGTTGCTGCTGAAATTGTTTATTTTCTGCAGCAGAAAATGAGATTTCTCGTGTTTTCTTGTTGCAGAAGTTTCCATACAGTCCAGAGCTATAGGCTCAAAACACAAGGTCCACACAGAAACAGAGATCCTGTTTTTAAAAAGGTCCCTTAAAAAAGCAATTAAGTACAAATGGGCAATACTTAAAAACCTAAATACATTTTCAAACAAGAAAAAATGAACGAATCAGAAAGTGGTGATTATCTGATTTTGTTTTTCTTTTTGGCGAGATAGTTTTAATGCCGCCATTTTAAAAAATAAAACGTGTATTAAAACTACATTTTTAAGTTGGAAAAAAAAGTTCCAATGGGATTGTCTGAATTTTTCTAAGGGGTGAAACTTAATGATATTCGTTTAAAGAAGAAAAAACGGCACACTTGCTGTGCGTTGGAAGCCTTCCCGCTAGAGCAAACATTATACACTAATCCCCTGGAATTAAGAGAGGTTAGGCTTTAATGTTCCTGGACAACATACATTTTTGCTTAAGCTGTTTGTGTGTGCGTGTGTGTGTGTGTGAGAGAGAGAGAGAGAGAGTGTGTGTGTTTAGGAATAATTGGCAGCCCTTTTTCCAACACATTTAAAAAACCGAACATGTTTGTAAAAAATCTTTTCTTTCTTTTTTTTCCTTTTTTCCTATTTTAGTTAAATCAGAGTATAGTTTCTCTGAGACGCTACGATAAAACGAGAAGCTCTACATCTTTGTTGTTGTTTTAGAGTAATTTAAATGACTTCAATTATATGCATCTGAAGTTGTAATATTTTTGTTCTTAAATAAACAAACCCGGAACAGTGACAGGTCTGATGGGGCCAAGCAGAGTCACGTGATTGATCAGCTCGGCTGTCTGGCAGCATCAATCACGGCCCCAGCCATGCTGCTGTGTGTTTTCTGCTCCCATTGAACCGATGCACCTTTGCAATCACTAAATCACCTCTGATTTTCATCAGAGAAACAATAACCTCCTGCTGAACGCCCTGCTCTGGCTGGAACGGGCTGCTAACACGTTCTCTGGATATAATTAAATTGCGCCCGATGGAACAAGACGCTGTTTCCCCACAATAAGAAGAGAACATTTTTAAATTAAAGCTACTCCCACAGAAAACGTGTTCATCTGAATGGATGAAATCTGCCTTTGCTAGTGTTTTTTTTCTCTCCTGGTGATGATCCCAGCCTTTAGCCCCTCTCATCCACGGGGTGCGTCTGCGCGTCGCGCAGGCCTCAACTCACAGCCTCCTGCTCTTTTCCCCAAATACAGTCGATACGCCAATGCTACCGGTCGATATTTACCTTTTAAAACAAACAGTCTTGATTAGATCTTCGACTAAGTGTAAATACTAATCGGGCGACCCACAACACACACCCTCCTGAAAAACACGTACGAGGCGGAATAAGGTTTCCTCCACTTTTATTGGCCCGCGTCTTTCTCTCCATATCATGCAAATTGGGGTAGGCTTGCGTCTTACCTGAAATGATACAGTTACAAAAACAAACCCGAGACTAAAGGCCCTCCAGTCCCCCTTCTTTGTGGCTTGGAGGCCTGTAATCTGGACAGGGCGCGTGGCCAGAGGCGGCAGTGATGAATGTGAGTCCGCAGCAACAGATGTCCATACACAATTCTTGGGGGTGAATTGGATTTTTACTCAAGAATTGCGTTTGGACAATCAGTCGCGAGAGACTCCCTATATCCTCTGCCGGGATGAAAAGAAGAAAAAAATTGAGCACTGGAGTGATTTGAATCAGAAACGTGCACGTGGGCAGTGATTGTGGGGCCCATGCGTGCACCTGCCACGGCCCTGTACGCGTCCCCCTGAACCGGGGAACCGGTTTCTTTTTCCTTTTTTCTCCTCCAGGAACATAAGGACTGGCTCTAATGTGCACGATCCGGAGCCTCTCAGGGCCCAGCTCTGCGCCTTTTTTCCAGCAGAAAATCCTGCCTCCCAGACGGGCATTTCCATTTTCTGTTGCAGAACATTCAGACAACCTGAGGTGCAACTTCCCCACAAACTACCCCCCCATCCCACACCCCATTACATGCCTATATAAACCAGAGAAAGCTGGAAAAAAGAAAACGAATCTCTTTTTTTTCTTTGGAAATGGAAGCATACCCGCAGACACAGTCATTCTAGGACTTTTTCTCCCGCTGTTCCTCCGTTAAAGCCACCGTCCTTCTCTCTGCCCGTGCCCTGCACTAGTTGCTGGCTCTGAAGTTAGTGTCGGGATCTCTACAGGCTCTTAAGATGGCTGAATAACCATAGCGCAGGTTTTTTAATTAATACGTCTTCTCGCAGGGCTCCCCTAAGAGTCCTGAGTCTAAAGAGTCTCGGTGAGGCCAGATCAAAATAGCTCTTCTGTACTTTCTCTCGGGCTGTAGTCCGACGTGAGGGGGGCCGGGAGGATGCCATGGCTGCACCTGTGCCATCGATTTCGGGGGAGACTCTTCAGCGGTGCCTCAAGGTGCACAATGGCTTTCCACGGTTGTTAATTTAATGGGAAGAAAAAAAAATCTCCCTCCTGGTTGAATAAGAAGCACGCCGAGCGTCTGTGGTCTTTCCTCTGGTTTTAAGAGGCTGTTGGGGGGAAAAAATGGGGGTGAAAAAATCATTTAGAAAAAAAAAAAAGCGAGAGAAAAGGGGAAGGAAATCCCTTTAGTCCCCTTTGGTGCGTCCTTGGTTCAGTTCCCACATCGCGAGTTGTCTCGGATCTCTTTGCCTTCCAAGTGCCTCCACCTCCTCCCCACACACACACACACCCCTCAAAACCCCTCAAAAGCCCCCCACCCTCAGCCAGCCAGCGAGCGGCGTCGGATGGGGAGAAAAAGAAGGTGCGGAGCCGGAGAGAGGCTCCCGCAGCCACTCCGCCCATCCTCTCCGACTGACTGACAAACCGGCTGACTGCGTGGATGCATGTCTCTCTGCCCTCCTGGCTTTTTCTCTCCGCTGCCCCCCCCCCCCAAAAAAAAAGAAAGAAAGAAAAAAAAGAGCGATGCGGCTGCGACGCAAGGCGGAGAGAGGAGTGGAGAAGGTCCTCGCTTGGTACTGAATTTGAATAACACCACGGGGTGATAAATGTCCATTGTACTGCTTAAGTAATGAATCTCCGCTGTCCTCTATGTCACACGCGCGCACACACACACACACACACACACACACACACACTGACACACACACGCCAGCAGCTGCGATGAGGGACCAGCAGCCCCTCTTAAAGACACAACAGCCCTATTTTCTCCCCAAAAAGAGATTACAATCCCGACCCTGTTTACTCTCTGACCGCACTGCATGACGTTTAGTGTTTCTCTTTTGCTCCCTCTCTTGTGTGAGCAAACTTGTGCAACGCTGGAACCAGGCACTTAGACATAAAGCGGCGCCTTCCGCGCCGTGTGCAGTCGCCCTGGGCCTGAATGGGCAGTTTACTGTAGGCCTCTGTACCAAAAGTGACAGAAAATGAGTGGATTCTGGGATGCCGATGAGGCAAACGATTGACGGCATCACAGGGAGCGCGTTGTCTCGCGCTTTGGAGTCGGAATTGAACTTTATCCGTGCATCAAATGTCACAAATAAAGATGCGACATCTACCTTTTTCCTGTTTGGCGTGTCATTTCCACCCAAACTCATGTTACACCTTTTTTTTTAAAGCTGTTCCTTTAAACATTCCAGAATGCCAA